GCAACCCTTCTCAGGTTGACGATTGTAAGTTGTGGAATGTCCGGACACAAACAAGATTAACCAACAATTACAATAATCGGAACTCACACAAATATTTAACACAAAAATATGTACAATCAACACATCAAATGTTGTGGATTCTGGCATGACAAACTACCCTTGAAGAACTGTAGGACTTACAGCAGTACGCCTACAACCCTTCTCAGGTTGACGCCCTAGGTTGAAAACTCCTCGCAGATTTCATTTGATTGCCCACTTCTCTCTGCTATATCCTCAAATCTGAACGTTCTCTCGGTCATTTTTTGTATCGTAGAATATAGATTACGAACACACATACGACGTGTCTGATCTACCAAGCGTAGAAACAGTGTAATTTACACCAAAGTTAATAACATTCAAATAGTAACTTGAAACAAGAAATGCCTTTATTCATGCATGTCAATTTAACAATTACCCTCTCGTACACAGTTGGCTTATCCTCACTAAACTAACCAATATCTTTCGTCTTTTCAAACGCACCAATACTATCATAGTTATTGCACAAGATACTTGAGTTGATGGGCGTCTGTTTTATTGTGGATGACAACACCAACGACGACTGACTGATAGCAGCTGATGAACCCATTTGTGGATCAGACGCTGTTTTTGTTCGGCTTTTACAAATTCGCCTAACTGGAAGACCACCACCACTGCTGAATTTTACCATTAGCACCAGTTTAGCACTAGCATCTGTTGACAGGTCGGCTACATGCTGATCAATTACACTGACGGTCTCACGAGTATGCATAGCTTCTGCAACTGCATCTGCCTTTAACTCTACTTCACGTTCAATTTTTACAAGACCTTTGTTCAACTCAGCAGTATTAGCCATTCCCCTCATCTCATCATGAACAAGCATAGAGAAAAGTGCATTAAATTATCTTTATCACAAATATTCACTTTACCGTCAATTTCATCATTTTCAAACTCTTTAATAAGAGAAGTAGACAATTTGGGTTCCTCCTCACAAATCCTTTAAGGTTTTATATCTTCACTCTGACTAGTAATACCTTGGAAACTTTTGGAGTCAGAACTGTCCTCTGAGACTGTAACTCCCTTCTGCTGCACAAACTGTGGTGTCGTCTGTGACACTCTATTCAACAATGGCTTGCTGGTTGCATCTACAGGCTTCTTCACTGCACCATTATCGTCACACAATTCGTAGTCAGAATCTTTTACCAGCTTCAGAATATCATCAAAGTTTGGCTCGATACCTTCATCCTCTACACGGAAGCTGATCTTCACCCACTTCCTTTGCAGTCGAGTAGGTAGGCGTCTCGGTATTTCTTCCAGGATAATACTCGAGTTGAGGTCACTCATGCAATTCATCAAAATCAATGCATTCTTGTAAGTCAACAGATTATCCGAAAACTCAGAGAGTGCCTTGGAGTCATCTTGTAATTGACCACCGTTACCCTTAACAGCCTCGAATAATTTCCCTGCAATCATCGGAGGTCTTTCAAACCTTTGACACAGTATACTCACGGCCTCAGAGTATCCTTCGTTACGGGGCATCAACTTACAGCACTGTATAGCTCTTGAAGCAATTCCAGTGCAGTACCTCATCAAATACATTAACTTCGATTCATCATTTAATAAAAAGACCACTCGACATGATCTCATGCCTCTTTACAAGCTGTAAATAATCAGCTGGTTTTCCGTCGAGAAACCGTGGTTCAAATTGAGGGAGTTTGATGTTCCTATTATCCCTGAACGGCGAAACAGTAACATCAACCATGTCATGCTTAACATCAGACGCATATTTACAAGTACCGGACGAGTCAACATGACTTACTTTCCTGTTTGCTTCCAAGACGCTCTGTCTCTTCTTTGACCCAGGCATCATTGAACGTAACCAAAATTCCAGAAAGTTCCAGCTAAACCTTGTTCAAAGGAGACTTGGCCTGCACCATGAAAGATTAACTGTGACTATCCAAAATGTAACAAACTGTCACCAACCGTTAAAGCGTATACCCTCACCCTCCATCACTGAACTTTGCCTCGGGGTATGCTAAGTGGGAAAATTTGGCCGAAATCTACTGCAAACTATTCGAAATACGGGCTGACTGAGGCGACACTAGGTGGGGACCTAGTGGAAAGTCATCAAAACTAGACTACATTCTAACTAGTGACCAACTAATCGTCGAAAAGTCCAGGTCATGACTCCTCTAGGAAGCAGTGATCATGCAGTCATAGGTTTCGATCTTGTTCTTCGTGAGCATTTGCAGTGGGACGTTACGCGCCGATGTCTGTATTATAGCAAGGCTGTCCATGATGAGGTGCGGAGGATCTTGTCCGACGCAGGCTGGCCCTTAGCGTGTGATGACCTATCTGTGGATGAACACTGAGAGGTGGTAAAGAAGATTATTCAGATAGTAATCTCGGATGCTGTCCCTTTAGTCACAACACAGCCCAAAGAAAGTCATCATGGTTGAAGAGAGGCACGCAACGTATTCTGCAAGCAAAGCGGAAGGCCTGGTTTACGTGACGCGTATCTAAGAGTCAGATCAACCATGATGCATACCGGGAACTCAGGAACTGGTATAATGCAAGAGTCAGGAGGGACAGGAGGTCATTCTAGGCTGACCATGCTGCAAAACTCCTGGCAAACCCCAAAAACGTGTTCTGATTCTTTTCGGAAAGAAAACCAACCAATCAGTGGGCATGCGCCTTAGAAGGCCCAAATGGTCAATAACTCGCTAGTCTGGAGATGAGTGAAGCATTCAGTTTAGCCATCACCAAACAGTTAAACAGCAGTATGGGTATAACCGGTACGGACCAAAATGGCGGCACTAGTATTTCACAGGAGGAAGGCCTAGTGGCTACTCCCGAAATAAACCCGGCAATAGTACTAGGGAAGCTATAGCGACTCACACTTGGAAAGTCCCCAGAATGTGACGACATCGGGCCATCTGTTCTGAAACAGTGCGCCGAAGTTTTCTGTAGGCCCTTATGCGACTTATTCCAACACTCGATGGATTCGGGGAAACTGCCAAGGGAGTGGAAAAGAGTCATCTTTCCTCCGATCTTCAAGGGCGCGGATAGGCAAAATGCCACTAGTTATAGACCAATAGCTCTACTCCCAGTGATATCAAAAGTACTGGAAAGTATTATTGACAAACACATCAGGGAATACCTCGATAGATCTAATATACTCCATGAAGCCCAACACGGTTTCAGGAAAGGCAGATACTATGTTACTAACCTACTATCAGCTTGGGACGACTGGACATCATTCTGAGATATGAATGTTCCAGTCCATGTGGTCTTCCTAGACTTTGAGAAGGCATTTGACACTGTTCACCATGACCTTCTCCTACACAAATAAGGCAGGCAGGTATAGGCAAGCCACTTCTGTCATGGTTAAAGGACTACCTAGCTGACAGGCAATTTCGCATTAAGGTCAATCGAGTCCGATCATCTTGGCACGGCTCGTCATCAGGAGTGTCGAACGGCTCTGTCCTATGACCACTGATGTTTTTGATTTTTATTAATGATCTACCACGCCGTCTGAGCTGCCCGAATCTTCTGTACGTTGACGACGTAAAGATGTGGGGGGCGATAAATTGTCCGGAGCACTCAGAGGCTGCAGGAAGACCTAAACTTTCTGGAAAACTGGGCAATGGTCAGTGGTATGACTTTCAACCTGAAAAGGTGCAAAGCAGTGAAGTTTCGCACCTGTAGACTGCAGAATGCAAGTTACACCCTGTGCAATGGAAGCTTGTCCTGCAAAACGTCGGAACGCGACTTAGGTCTAGTTCTAACGGAAAAAATGGACACAAGCGTAAATTACACGGGGGATGTAGCGAGGGCATATGCGGTCATACACTTTACACGTAGACAGTTAGGTGCACTCACTCCTGAGCTCTTTCTAAGGTTGTACAAAACATACGTCAGACTACACCTTGAAGTGCATAATATTATTGAGCCCCCAATGCTTAAAAGAGACGCCCACCTCTGGGAAGGAGTGGTTGGTCTCCGAAACAAACCATATGATGAAAGGCTGAAGAAACTAGGCCGATTCACACTTAGCTACCATCGTCTTACGAGGGAGATTTAATTACTGCCTACAAAATAACAAATGACCAGAATCACTCAAACAAAGGTGTTCTGCCATTGAGTAGGTATAGGCTCCCTCGCGGAAATCCCAGAAGGATAGCTCATCAGAGGGCAAAGACTCGGGTGCACTCCAACTTCTTTTCACAGCGGATTTCCGACCCTGGAATTCCTTATCGGCAGATGTAGCTATGGCACCGCCTGTGGACGCCTTTAAGCGAAGACTGGGCAATCATGCAGCGACACAAGGACTGCATCCGAATGGCGTATTCGCTTAAAATTCCATACGCCACTCAGGGGTAGACAACTAAATTTGTCGTTTTACTTCATTACATTCTCTCCCGTCTTACTCTTCTGACAACCCTAAATACACCTATTATTATCATTATTACCAATATGTATATATATATATATAACATATAATTCATATTATTCTTCAAATTTAATCAGCTGACTGTTGTTACGTTTTCTTATTTCTTTTTCTGTCTGTTAGTCCGAATAACTTCACTAATTATATCTATTATTATTATCTCTTTTCTTTTGACAACGATACCGGAGGACTAACTGGTGAAAGGATCAACTCCATTCACAGTAGTAACAGTCTTAACACACCTCATACTACAAGCCACACATAATTAATCCCAGCACTACTCCTTTCGGAGTCAACCAAAGCTACGACAGTCGAGTGGCGGGACGAGCTACGCAGAAGTTTACCGAAGATCAGGAACCTATACCTCGCAATCAAGAGGCGATCACAAAGAAATCAAATTGGTTTATACTAGCTCGTAAAAGCGATATTGGATATTGCCCCTTGGAATAAGCAATAGCTAAGGTAGTCCAGTGGTAAGACATACTACTCAGAACTTTACTGAAGATCAGGAACTGTCACTTCACATTATTAAGAGATTACAAGGAAACTAACCTGATTTACACTAGCTCATAAACATGATATTGGATATTCGAACCGAGGGAAATTCAACTAATTTGCGCTAAGTTGCAAATATCTATGAGGCAGACTGGTGGAAGGCGAGTCTTTATCTGTTGATATCTACCGATTTCAAGTTAACATTATGAAGGGATGTCCACACTTGAAATAAGAATAATCTTAAAAACTCCCCAGTGCGCATTGAGGAGTTCTTAAGATTAGAGTAGCTAGCGCTAGCTACTATTTTTTCGGGTGCACTGCAGAAAGTAAAGCAGTTTTCTTCAGTCTCCCCTAAAGTATCTGCAGTGTGCCTGAAATCACTGTCGGCTGGATATAGTATCAGAAAAGTTTGTAATTGTTTTGAATGGCACATTTTTATATTGATGAAACGGATGAATTATCCCTTTTGTAAGTTGGATCAAAATTCACTTGGAATTTATTAGAAAATTTAATGAGCTGAAATGTTTTATTGATGTCATCCTGGATTAAAAAATCATTCATGTTTAGTACCGTGTTCTAGGCATATTAATCACACATACTACTATGATGCCGAATTCTCGCTGATTCTGAACTGACTCCAACACTTTATAATGAGTACGTTCTGAAGTTGTTCTGGAATGGTTTGAATATGCGCACAGACTAGAACTCAGTGCTGGTTTTCAACATGACTGGCACTTATGCAGCAATTTGTGCTATTCTAGGCATTTTCAGAAGTATCTCAGAACCTATTGGTCTTGTTGATCAGCGTTATTTCAACCCTCTCAACCTGGACTCCGAACTGACTGGTGTTACTTCAGAACAAAAAGACTTAATCCAGTAAATAGTAGCAAATCTTTAGCTTTATTCTAAAGGACTAAAGGTATTATTTCAGCTGCAAATCCTATTTTTAAGGTTTCGTCGCACTAATTAAGCGTCCTGTGATCTTTTTAAGAACGACCAGCTCTATTTCAGTACATAGTGGGTTCATTCTGGGCAGATAAAATATTCACATACCATAAAAGGCATTATCGACGCACAGTTTAGAATTATTGTGCGCTGGGTAATATGAGAACTCTCATTGATGGCTCGATAGAATTTTCATAAGACTATGATTGTACGGTGACTACTTTGATCTGTCTAGGTGGGGTCTCACCCTCCGTACTTCATACCTAGAGGATGAAATGTTTGCAGGCATATTCCCACATCATTTCTGGCAGTTCGTATTGATACACTGTACTAGATTTAGTTTAGTGACTACTCGTCTCATTCCTTAAAGTGTATGCTAGCAAGCTGCAAGTGCATATATTGTCTGTGTTGAGATTGTGACGATTTCATTGATATAAAGTTACACTATGCACTGCTGGAAATGTAATTGTGTGCAGTTGATTCTTATTGCAGTACTGTAATTGATTATTCAATAACTTTCGAATTTGATGGGTTTTGTCATCTGTACTTGGGGCTAGTTGGCGATGATCTTATACTACTGGTGCAATGAACTCACTAAGTGCCCATTTCGGAATCTTATATTAGACGCTAAAGCGTCAAGAAATCGTGCTCTATTGCATTTGCTTTCACTTTTACTATGCGTAATAACGAAAAATGCCTATAATTTGAGCTTCTACGTACTTGTTTTCATCATCCACCTCCCCTGGAGTTGATCACGTAGAAGTAATCAGGTTTTGTTTATACGGTTGTTGAATTTATTGTGCCAATCGTACTAAATAAAGCAATGATTATGTTCTGATTACAACTTTTGAATGACCATATGTCTTCTGTCTCTGTAGCAGGATACGTATCGCAGTGAATTTCCAATATATTTGGGTAGATAGTTAGTTCTTCCCTACCTGTATACAACTTGATGATTGCATCTTCAATCTGGAGAGAACGTAAAAGCCATATTCTTCTGCAGGGACATTCAATGAATTCCTTTTGTATAAATAAGTATAATTCACATGCTACCGCAAAGACTGAGGACTGATTCCAAGTTTGGCTGTTTATTCGGTAATCTGCCTTTACTCATACTGGAAGTGAAGCTGTTATTACCCAAGTCATTTCTTCTTGTTATCTTCTACAGATGGTTCCACCACAACTTAACTGGATTAGAAGCTGAGAAACTGTTAACCCTAAAAGGTGTTAGTGGTAGCTTTCTTGCTCGTCCTAGTCATAGCACACCGGGAAGCTTCACACTTTCAGTTCGTCGAGGTGATGAAGTTACACACATCCGTATACAGAACACAGAAGAATTTCTAGACTTGTATGGTGGAGAAAAGTTTGCCACATTGTCGGAGTTAGTTACATACTATATGGAGAATGAGGGTCAACTCAGAGAGAAAAATGGTGATATTATTGAACTCAAGTATCCACTCATTTCTGAGGACCCTACTACAGAACGGTAAGTATCAGTTTTTGTATAAATCCAAATTCGTCAGTTCGAATCCTGATGTCGCACATTTTTGATTTCTTTGGTTTTCTCCTAATTTTAGTATCAAATAGTATATTCACTGTCCCACTCCCAACTTAATATCTCCAATATGCATTATAGTGCATATGACTGTTTAATTGAAGTCATTTTCCGTGACAGTTTGAATAGGAATGTATATTAGATGATGACTACGTTGATAGGCTTATGTTAGCCAAACTGTTCAGATATGGACTCGGGAATGACTTCGTGTTGTCTTTCAACTGTAGTTTCACATCTTGATTTCTGTGTGTTCGGATCTGATGCTACTTGTCGAGATTGAGATAGTCATGAAATAATGAATCACTTATACCCTGCATCATGTGTTCTTGTTGCTTTGTTGAAGTTTCACTAGTCCTGACCGAGAATGATCACCGTAGATTTTTGCGCCGAAGTTTTTGATTTAGTTGCATTATCTTGGTGAAGCGCATATAAAGAGAAAAATTTAATCACACCAAATAACGACCACACATTCGGAATCTGAATGGTGGTAAAACTTATGTACTTATGCCCTTTGGACACCACTTCGAAACATATTTCGAAGAATCTCTAATCGTTAGTTCTACACGGGTTTTTGGGTTGCTCCAGTAATTTTGCAGAAACTTAAGAAAAGTAGAATTATCTGGTGTGTTATATAGAATTTGTATAACTGTTTGTACTTTTTGGATACCCATACAGTAGAAGTTGGCCTTTTTGGTACATGAAAGAGAAAATTGATTAGTTTTGTGTGACTACAGAGCTTAGGGTAAGTCACTCACGGCTTTTCTGCATTGAAATTTACATTGATCCATCAGAGAAATGACTAAGCTATCTTACTCTATGCTACAGTCACTTATCCTTCGCCTTAGTTCAAGTCTTTTATAAGTTGCTTATTTTAAAACACTTATAAATTTTGGGTCTATTAACGTCCGAAGTTTATATGTATAATTTATCTGAATAGAGCACAAATAAATACAGCCACTGCATACCACGTATCTAATCACCAAATATTTATTCACATATCTTTATGTATGTTGTTTGGCAGTATAGTGTTTGAATTTCATGAAATAATTCTTTTTTTAATAGTTGGTTTCACGGAAAAATTACAGGGAAAGAAGCTGAGAAAATGCTTTTAGAACGAGGGAAGCCAGATTGCTTTTTGGTTCGTGAATCTGTTCACAGACCAGGGTCTTATGTCCTGTCAGTTTTGACAGGAGAACAAGTGGCACATATTATGATACATGGGAAGCCAAATGGAATGTATGATGTTGGTGGAGGACATCAGTTTTCCTCTTTAAAGGAGTTAATCGACTTTTACACAAACACACCCATGGTCGAGAAAAATGGAGGACTAGTTTCACTGAAACAGGTAAGCGTTTTACAGGTTATTATACCCAATGAATGTGGTTTGTAAAGATGCAAAGTTTTGAATAACATCTAATTTTTTCCATGCTAATTTCTATTATTTCTCCAAGGTTTCGAAACCTTTCGTCATCGTATTTTTTAATCTAATCCATCTTATCAATAGACATGCTAGCAAATGTTGTGAACTGATGTTCGGTACACACCGTGAACTATCTAAATATGTTCGACTACCATTTAAGACTAAAAAGCGTCCACCATCTTTCAACAATTGATAGACACTATATTATGTGGTATAGCAGCATGAACTGTGTGCCTTGATGGTACCTGTATTTCTGTAGACTCTTCATCAGTTAATTTGGAATCTCTATTGGCCAGGTGCTATGAAGAATTGAAGGGAACCAAATATCTTCACCCTGAGAAATGCTAGTCTTATCTATACTCACTTAAGTGTTTAGGATTAATCTATGATGCTTTTGTTTGGGGACAACGGTAGTCTTCTTTTAAATGTCGGTTCAGATAACCATTGGTTCCGGTGCTGATTTCAAGCATAAGGAGGGGAATTGTCTCATCTCACGACCACTGATATCGAGCCAACGATGAACACAAATAGATCAATTAACCATAAGTTACCGATTGAAAAGATTTGGGGTCTGTCCTTCCAGAATACTGATGTAGAATCCTATCATGCATTAGTAGATGCATATGTATGCCTACGACAAAAACGATATAAAAGGAGCAGTTGTAGGCTAATTACGTATTGGAAGGTCTGTATTTAGAGAGGAGATAGGTAAAAAATCTGAATGTCGTAGGATTTCAAGGTCATATACAGAATTCATGCCAACTTCCCGCGTTTTCTTCGTTACAGACTTCTAAAGACAGCTGAGGCCTTGGCAATTCATGACTTTAAGCCAGACCTTTGTGTACAAAAGAAGTATGTACAATCCCTACTGCTGCCTTGGCCGTAGAGGGATAGACATTTATTTTATTATTTTATGTACTTTTCCCTTATTACTTCGATTATTATTATTATTATCATTATTATTATTATTACGACTCTCATTCTGAATCCTTTCCACTTGATCTACTTGACATTTTAAACCAAAAATTATTCATGTGTATACTTTTTATCTTTATTTTTACAATATTAAATTCTATGTTATCAAATTTCACACCATATTACGTAACATTTTACATTCGTCTATTAATCTTACAATTATATGCCTCTCCCCAAAATCTATACACCTGATGTATTATCTTATATATGACATTAATTATTGTTCCACTTGACTTAAACTATGAACCTAATCACAAATATTTTAAATTTATTTCATACTATTATTATTTCATGTATTTACACCTTTGACCTAATTCCCTCACCGGATAAAATTTCTTTATAAAACCATATATATCGTAGAATTGTTCATCTTGATGGAGTTTAAATTCACATTCAGTCCACCGTTGATCACCTATACGTAGATGTAGGTAAATGCCATATGATGTCTGCAGCATCATCCGAACAAATTCATGTAAGGAGAGTGGTCCCAGCAGGCTCCGAACACGAAGAGCAAAGTCTACTCAGAGTTGTGAGTTGACTAAATTTCTTTGCAGTGATTACAAACAGTGGTGTAGTACAAAAGCGAGAAATATGCAGAAGACATCACAAATGGTTGGTATCAGTTAATTACTTAGGCTCATTAGTGAAGTGGGTTTTACAAAAACCACGGTAAGTAAAATAATCTCTGAGAAAGATTTGACTTCAGTGATTTCTCAAGAGAGGTAACTGGAGCATTGGGATAAACACTTTAATAGGTAGTCCACCATGCCTCTAACCGACTCCAGCTTTAGAAGAATGTAGACATATTGTGTAATTTTGATGTGGTTTTGTTCTCTGAGCTGGAGACATCCAAATAGATGAACAAGAAATAATGGTATCCTTCGACGTGACAGCATTATATACCTCTATCGGACAAAAACTAGCAAAAGAAACCATGGAGCAATTACTTAGCAACGACGAACAACTTCCACAACAATCAAAAATGCAACACACAAGCTGGATGGAATGCATAAATCTATGCCTAACAACATACTTCCAATTCAACGGCCAAATATATGAACAAGTCAAAGGAACACCCATGGGATCGCCAATATCAGGTTTGATTGCAGAAGCAGTGATGCAAAGACTCGAAAACATAATTCTACCAAAGATCAAACCCAAGATTTGGATACGCTACGTCGACGACACATTTGTAATAATCAAAAGAAACGAATTAGACAAAACTCACAACTTAATAAACAACGTCTTCAACGACATCAAATTCACAAGAGAAGAGGAATCCGAGAACAAAATACCATTTTTGGACGTCTTAGTCAGGCGAACAACTACAGGAGAATTAGAAACTCAAGTTTATAGGAAATCAACTCACACAGACCAAATACTGAATTACAACAGCAACAACCCAATAGCACACAAAAGGAACTGCATACAAACACTATTCAAGAGAGCAAGGACTCACTGCAGCACTCCCACCTTAAGAAAAATTGAAGAAAAGTATCTCATGGACGTCTTCCAAAAGAATGGATATCCCCGGAATTTCATCAAGAGACATATACCCCCAAGCCAACCTACCAAAACAAAAGCCACCAAGGAAAACACAAAGAAAATCGCCTTACCATATATAAAGGATATCTCAGAAATCACTAAAAGACTCTTCAAACCTTTAGGAATTGACGTCGTACACAAACCAACAAAGTCGCTGCACTCAATTCTATGTCAACCAAAAGACTCAACAGCAAAAGAAGACAAAACCAACATCATCTACAAAATAAACTGTAACAACTGTGAAAAACACTACATTGGCCAAAGTGGACGTCCCCTTCGTCTTCGTATCCACGAACATAAGCTAGCCGTCAAAAGACATGATATACACTCCCTCATTTCACTACACACAGACAACCACGGACATCAATTCGACTGGGACAACGTTCAAATATTAGACAAAGGAAATAACAAGAATGCTAGAGAATTTTTAGAAGCTTGGCATTCCAGTGAATCATCAATCAATAGACACATCGAGATAGACAAAATTTATCAACCAATAAGAAAGAAACTTCACACACGATTGGCCAAAGTTCAAGTCACAGAAACAATCAGTTCCAACACAAGTAACCTAGAAGGTGTGAAAACATACATAAACAACCAATCACGTCCAAGGTCACCAGGAGGAATGATTAATAAACTCGTGGAGAAACCTAAAAGCTCACTTCAATTTGAAGTATGCGCTGAAGATGTCACCCAGTAAGGTGATGAAAGCTTCGCAAACTAACTATCCAGCTCAGAGAACAAAACCACATCAAAATTATCCACCTGAGCTACAAATCTTCTCTATCATATCTATATTGTGTAATATTACACGAGGTAAAACAGCAAGACCTAACGGTATAACCTAAGAGGTGTGTAAGAATGTTGGTGACGAATTACTGTCTAGATTAACTAGGGTACTAGTTAGTATGTGGGAATCTGGAATAGCTCCGGAGTGGTGTAGAGCGTTTGTCATTCCAGTTTACAAGAAAAGAATCAAATTTTCTTGTGGTAATCACAGAGAAACGACTTGACTGATATAATAATGCAAGATTCTTAGTTCAGTGAACATACGAAGAGAAATTAGGGGTCAGGGAAGATAAATCGAAGAGTACTATATAGACTTCAGGTCTAATTAAAGGTTCATAGAACAGTATGTACTCTTTGATAAGTCCTGCAACGTAGGCGGGTTGGTGTAGGCGTTCTCGGGATGTTAAAAATTTTGGTGAATCAAAGCCAATAACATCAGCATTTATTGTTACTATCCAGATTTCACAACTGTTAACTTATAATCAAATTATTTTTCTCCTGTACACTTTCATTCGTCGTATTTTGGTTACATTTCTTTTATGTGTGTCCCTTTAAAGTGTGGCAACTTGAACTGATGCATTTCTTTCCAAATCGATTTCTGCTTAGTTATTTTCTGAAGTGTTCACGAATACAAAATTTATTGGTCCGCACAAACAATAGCAAAATGAATTAGACAGTTATTGGACATCCATGAGTGTGTATTTTACAATATTTTTTTCTAACAGGGTGGTAAAAAAATCTGACTTAGGTACTTTTCGCATTAGTTAGTGTATCTATTAAAAAAAGGAATTAAGACAAAGTTTTTTTTGGATTTTCCCCAAAATAACTCCATGATTCATTGAATTGATGGGCGGAGTTGTCTTCTTCCAAGCTTGCACACTCTGCGAAAGCATACAAAAAGTAGATAAGAAAATGTAATGAAAATACAATGAACAAATGTGTGTGAGAGAGAAAAAAATAAGTAAATAGAAATTGTTGAAGGTCTTGATAATTTGAAGTATGACTAGGAGTGAACACGTCTGCGCTATTAAGTAGGGTTTCTAACCCGTCACAGAACTGCTCAGCATCTTTAGGATCTCAGCCATTAGATATTTTAATGAAAAGTCATCTGCCTCATCGACGACACTTATATCCTCTTGCTTGCTTTTTTCTACTAGCCTTTCAATGCTACTCGATTCAACGTTTCCACCATTGATCAGCGCATGCGTCAGTTAGAACAAGAAAATGGTCATGGTTCAGGTTTGGCTGGATTTTTGGAGGAATTCGAAGAGCTGCATCAGGAGGCTCATGTAAATTTCAGCATTTTTTTAGTTGATTTTTAAAAAATTGTTATATTTCACTTTAGCATTGGTGTGAAATGTGTAGTCAATTTTTAGCTTGAATGCCGTGTAAGGTTGTGGGCAAGTGGTGAGGTGGACTTACAAAATGCAACAAATTCATGTTACGCAATAGATGAAGATAAATTACTATTCCGCATCGATCATCGTCTTGTGAAATATGGGGATGACAAAATTGTGTGTGAAGTTTGATGAAATCATTATAAATCTTCATTTTATATTATTTCTTAATTTTCATGAAAAAATTCGTACTACCACCGATTACACTTAGTGGAGATATCAATATTTTTGTGAACTTCTGTCTAACCACCGTTCGAAGCTACGACATAATGTCTGTTTGCCAAAGACTGAGTATATTTCACAACCATTTACTTTTAAGTGTAGTAAAATTGTGATATTGTACCTTTTGCGATGATAAATTCAAGAAGTTTGCCGGGATTGAATTGTAGGTATTTTCGATAGTGAAGAACATTGTAGTGGAACACGAAGCATCGATGGGGGTATTTTTTGCAATAAGGTGTATATTTCTGACAATGTTCATGTTCTTATGCAATCTTTTTCTGCTAGTAGTATGAACAGTGTAGGGCTAATATATGATAACATCTTTTGATTTTAATCATTTGCTGGGTGACTATAAGTTTCGGTATGTTTTTACGATTCATTCAGATGAAGTTTACTGTTCGTTATGTTAGCAACATTAGATACAAACTCATGTAGTTGTACTTCTATATCCGCTGTATCAGCCAGGGAGTTGAAACAGTGCCTTCAGGCGCTTATGTTGTCGAAATATATCTCTGGGATTGCAAGATTTTTGCGCAAAGTATTGTGAAAATGTTTATGGAATTGAGTATAATATTTACTGATCCAAATGTATCTTATGGCATTTATTAACTGGGTTAAGGTTTTTCCAGAATTAAGTCGTTGTATATATGGATCTGTTGAAAGGTTTAATGCAGTTTGCCCTGTAATGCGTAAATTGATTTTTGAATTTACCTTTATTATACTAAAATTTCATTCAGTGATGAAAATATTCGTGATCCGGTTAATCTTTGATGATTTGTCAATTACCTCAATGTTGTGTATGTACCTCAGTAAAATGTGGAAAGAAGTACGAAACACAAGCCCTTAATCACGTAGGGTTAGTTGGTCAGCATTTAATTTACGTACTTCAAAAGATGCTTTTAATCGGTGTATCGCAAACCATGAAATTAGTACTTCTGTATTTGAATATCCGTTTCCTATCAGTAATTGAATTTTGTTGTTGTTCGATTTCTTTCCCAATGAACAGATGTTGATACAAATGAAATTTTTAAACCAATAATATTTGTAATCAAGTGAAATGTTTTGTACTCATTTGAAGTATTTGTGTGTGTGTGTCTTTGATTTCCACTAGTTAAAAAATAATCCACGCGTCGAAGGATACCAGTCTTATAACCGTGACAAGAATCGTTATAAACATATTCTTCCATTTGATTGGTCTCAAGTCAAACTCCTTGATGGTGATCCGAATGAACCAGGTTCTGATTACATCAATGCTAATTATATTTCTTGGCCTGTAAGTTATCTTGGTGTCTCATTCTATTGTATTATTGTAGAGACCGTACTATAGTGAATCTGGTTATTGCTGAGTGATTCACTGCACGGTAAACTGTAGCTTGTATAACCACAAACTGTTTGCGATGGGCTTGGCACTGTCAGTAGGAAATCGCATTGTAGTCATCTTCTGGTGATATGAAACTAATTGTAGTTACTGTTTTTGAAATAATTATCTGGTAATATTTCCTTCACATGCTATAACGCGGGAATCAGAATTAAGCTGAATCTTTGTATTTCTTGTGAGTTTCCAGCTTGATGCATTTAAACACTATATATATATATATATATATATATATATATATATATATATATATATATATATATATATATATATATATATATATATAGTGTTTAAATGCAGTACGCGCTTAAAACTTTTCATTGACTGTACACTAACAGTCCTACAGAGCATGCGTGATTCGAAGCCTTTAATGTATTCATTTCTCCAACCTTCAACGGTCATTTACCGTATTCCTACAACATAACAGAGCCGAATGTTGTTCTACTTATTTTTTCTGCAGTAAGTACTCAAATGTATTATTATTATTATTTCCTTTAATTCATAGAGAAACATTGGGCTTCAACCGCACGTCTTCATTGCTGTCGGTTCTCTGCCAACGTTTTCATCTGACTCCACGTCTGCCCACTTGCTTTGATCTCCTCTTCACATGACCTCCTCCATGTCACCCTCGCACTAGCGATCAACTCGCCGCTTCCTATTTGGGTTCCACTCCAGCGACGGCCTGGTGTGTGGTGTCACTTGATGGTCTCCTCAGAGTATGGCCGATCCATCTCCATTTCTTCCTGCATATTTGTTGCACATTTGGTTCCTGCTGGGTTGGTTCGCTCCCAGACATCCCTGTTGCTGATCTTTTCTGGTCATCTGCTAATCTTGAGTAGTATCGAGGAAAGACAGCTGTTGATGAAAGTCTGTAGTTTGTTTGAAGTGCCCTTTGTGAGGCGGCGCCAAGTCTCTGATTCGTATAGTAAGTAGCACTGACTTCACATTGGAGTTGAAAATCCGGATCATCATGGAAGTGAAGGAAGAATGTGGACTCCTGGCGCTTACAGACGGACTGGTGGACATGCTGGTTCACCTTGGGGGAGCTGGAAAATCCTCATCCCGAACCTATGGTACACATGAGATCCAGAATCTGGAAGAATCGAATGGCGTATGAACCTGTTTTAGTCACCGGGGTCCATTGGGACTCTGCCCCACTCTCTTGTGGATCAGGCTTCAAGTCAAAGGCTCAGGGGGTTGTTTTTTGAAACAATTACCTGTTTCGGTCTGGGCGTCTGGCAGTATCTTAGACCCCGCAGAAACTATGAGACAACAATTTCATGAAGGATTATAGTCTCGTGCTCACTGGTACAGACTACAAGCATATTTTTTCACAATATTATCCTTTTTGACTTTATTTATGAACCTTCGTTTTTTATTTTTACTAGCTTTCCTATTTTTGGTGTATTGCCTTTCGTCAACCTTTCGCGTTTGTTCGAAATCTCAGCCTACATGTGCCGTTGTGAGTTGTTAGTTAGTGGCCTTCAGAGTGCTGACCACCAATGCACTACCTAACACACATATTTTGAAACCACGTATCACGTCCAAGTATGCCACCTACAGTGTGCGCACACTGATGCAAATTGTAAAACAGGCAGGTCTGATCAGAACATAAAAAAACCTCGCAATCAATGTCTGCTGCATTTCTGGGACCTGCATTCAGCATACCAGTGAAGTATTCAGAATACAATTTCCATCTACTAATTCGAATGGTTTGTACCGCCTCCGCTTTACTGCGGACTCTGTGACGTCCGCATCGAGCTCAGCTGGTGTCGATGTCGCACTAAGCGCAAGAGTCAAAGCTCAATAACACGACTGGATTCCCACTAACAATCGTTTATATGGTGTGAGGCGAAAAGGCTATATCACATTAAGAGGCATTCTGCCAATCAGGTATTACCTGTTTGTCATATGCGCGTGTGGATTGTAGCTCGGAATCAATTAAGAATGAGTTTTAATATTAACTGAGCAAGCTTCTGATTTAGGTGCGTCAGAGAGTTATCTAAGTAGTAGCTGGGCAGTTGAATGCAAAATTTTGATGTCCACTCTTAGAGAAGAGTTGATTATGTAGTGAATGGGGTCTACATGGTCGCAGATCAGATAGTAGCCTTCCACAGATCACAAATCATTTCTATCGAGCACCAATTTCCACCACGACCATTGCCATAGCGTCACCTGATGTCCTCTCTCAGCTAATAAGACTCAGACTGATCACATTTCTATCAGTTTCCAATGGCGTAGACGCATACTAGACTTCTGCTCCTTTTGGTGCACAAGTCTAGGTTCCCATCATGCTTTAGTGTGTGCCATCCAGGTTAATCTGGTGATTTGCTAGTGTTCATGAACGGCATCCACCACAACTTCATGTAAGTAAACAGGTAGCACCTGCTATCTCTGAGAAGTACCAAATTGGGTTAAACTCAAATTAGGGTGGCGAATTAATTCGCAGTTCTCACAGTGTGAGAAGGTGAAATTTCACTTCAATTTCCTTTGGAAACCAAAATTATTCAGATCACAATATATAATTTGCTTGATACCGTGAATGGTAATCAAGAAAGTAAACATAAATGCTCAGAATTATGTACTACCAATTGATTGAAATGAGCACTTAAAATCAGCCAGTAGTGCTTGCTAGTCAGACAGAAGCGATCTAATCACGGGAGTGCCGTTTCGCCGAGTGGCATATGTACTCGGTTTGATTCAGCCCAATCAGTAGTAAGCAGTTTTACGCATATATGTCTGCTTTCTTGAATACCATTTATGAAGTCGAACTGATCAGATACTATGATCTGAATAATTTCGGTTTCCAAAGGAAACTGTGATGAAATTTCACCTCGAACTGTGTAAGTCTTAAACATGCGAGTTAGACCTAAGGTGTTACCAGTTCACCCAAGTGGTTAGCTATAAATCAGGTGGCTTCAACTGATTCGGCTACCTGAGCTGAGTCGAATCGAGTACACCACTGATCAGCTTGGTGTCAAACTAGAGAAACGGTGATCAGGTGTATAGATCATTACGACCTGGCTAGCAGGTAGTAGGGGTTGATTCTAGTGATGTACATTTACTAATCTCAATCAATCAGTAGCATAGAGTTTTACGCATTTATGGGTTAAATTCAAGACTACTTAGTAACCGTCGAAATAGTATAGGTGAATATTAGTTATACGTGCAAGATTTTATGAAAATGGTGACTACATTCACTTGTTCTGCTGCGTTTCTGCGAGTTTCTTGCGAATTCCGGCCCCCCGTCAGTTCATTTTGGTAGACAGAGAGTATACGCATATGTAGAGCGCTTCCAAGTGTAAGGTCAAACAGTATTTAAGTAAGAACCGCGAAGTTTTTTGCTCAGAACGTGCTTGTGAGATGGAATCGGCAGCTGCAGCCGGAAGCTATCTCAGCTCATCTGAGCCACAGATAGAAAGAAGCATGGTCTCAGCTAGACAGTCTGTGATGCAGGTAGTACGCTGATTGAAAACCTGAAGAAAAAGCCTGCAACGCTGGCAGAAGTGTTATAAGAAACAGTTTATCTGGCCAATAGCACCGGCATCCAATGTCACCATCTACAGTGCTCCATGGTCTGACTAATACCGATTCACCAAACGAATTGGAGATTCGAATGGCGGTGACAAGATTTTTGTCAAGGAATTGATTGGACTGTTCAAAAAAGTGTATGGACGTGGTAGTGTTCCATCGATATGGAATGAAACTATCAATCGTGCCGATCTCCAAAAGTGGTTTACGCAGTACGTGTGGCAATCATAAGGGCATTAGCTTGCTACTAGTCGCGTCTAAAATGTTGACTACTGTGTTGCTTCGCAAGCTGTACAAAACATGTGAGGAGTAGGTTGGGTTTCGTTCGTGCTGTGGATGGATTCATCATGTGTTCACCCTTCGGAACTCGCCAGAGCACCATTACGTGTGCTGCAGGGCAGCAATCGTTGCGTCTTTTGATATTAGAGCTCCCTTCGTTTTGTTGGACAGAACTGCTCTCTGGAACCATCTGTGAGAGAGATGTGTTCTTGGAAAGTTTCTTAACATCCTGAATCCTCTGTACACAAACATTGCTCCCAACTTGATTTCAGGTTAGACGCTGTTGCTTAGTCTGTGTTTCCTGGAGAAAGACTTTCTGACCCCGAGTGTGCAGATGATATCGTCTTACTGAGCAATATCTAGCAGAATGTCTAAATAGTATTTAATGAGTTGATCATTGGCTAGTAGTGTGATATGTACTTTGCTCCGTCTAAGAGCAAAGTATTGTTGCAAAGTTAGCAGAAGTTTGTACCTGCACTCGCCCTAACAGGTGAACTGCTTGAAGTTGTTGACAAGTTCGAGTGCTGGTGGAGGTGTGACGGACTGAATCTCTAGTCGTATAATGAGACCTAGGGTTGCATATGCCGATTTAGTTCACCACTGACGTCATCACAATGTCAGTCTGGTTGTCAAACGTCAGGTTTAAAATGCTTCGACGCACTCAGTCTCGTTATACACCTGTGAAATTTGGCCTGTCCGAGCTATGTGGCGGCTCCACGTATTCGATTAGCTCTGTCTCGGTAGAATTTCCTGTGTCCGATGGCATCACTGTGTAAGTAATTCTGAGGTCCGACAACGTGTCTGGACACTGTGGAGGTCACCATTTATTGATTGTGGTCACCTTCGGTGGCCTAGAGATGTGCTACGAATATTATCCCGTGAGGCTCCCAAACCGGTTACTGTTTACTAGCCTTGGGACTGTATTGGAAAGGCGGAGGTGGTTAGCCTATGACGTGGCGCCTTGGGGCGAGGGTTATATGTGTTAGGTCCGCATCTGCTGGTACATCATGACCTCGTGGGTGGGGTCCAAGAGGTAGTTCCAGTCGGTGACTCGAGACTTTAACAGATATGTCCTAGGGTCTCAATCGCTGGAGAGCGTTCTATAATTTTTTTCCTTCCTCCTTTTCCGAAAGTAACATGAAGTGATGAGTGTTGTATGATTTTGAAAAGTATGCCTCCTTGCTGGCTTTCAGAATCACTTTCCTCATTTATTCTATGTTTATTTTGTTACATATTGTCGTTCTGTTATTATTTTTATGTGGCGCATCTTTTCGTGCCCATTAATGTACCAAGTTCATGTTTTTAATAATAATAATAAAACGTACAGATAAATGCATCGACATAGTGACAGCAAATAATTATCAATTTCAACAAATATATGATTGATAAGTGCGACAGTGATAATTTGTTAGTGTTATTATTATTAAGGAGTAAATAATATTCCTCAAAGTACATATTAACGTATAAAATGTAGTTACGGTGGTAGAAATAATATAATTAAGGACTAGATTTGATAATGTTGAAATACAAAGAAACTTCTCAAAAATAAATAAATTTAACATATGTAAACCTCATAGGACTGTATAACAACCTTTTAACGTATCCAAGGTAAACTCAAAAGATAGTTTGAACACTTGATCAGGACTGATACTCAACTATGACTTTCGATTTACAAATATCTCGAATGAAAATTAACAGTATGCCAGATAATCATAATAATAATAATAAAATAAACACCATTATAACGAAAAGAAGGAAGAAACGGAGAATTATAAAGGTAAAAAATGTCAAGTTAGACAGATCTGAACTAACCGCTCTCTGTTCACATGCATCCGCCTCCTGATCTGATTGTACAGGTTTCGGCAAAACCAAAAGCTTTTTGATCACTTTCCTTGTTGATATCCTCAAAGCTTTTGTTCAACTTAATATTATGATCACAATCCAAATAATATCGTGTGGTTAGGCTCCTCGGCATGACATCTTAAGTACTAGTAAGCCACTAGGGGCAGTGTTCAGCAAAGCAAATCGATAGACATCTTTCCGTACTCCCAATGCATTTGCTCCTACAAACACATGTAACTTACTGTATACATTTCATATGGCGAGGATCGATAGTTTATCTTTCCCCATGCTTAACAGTATCCTTCCTTGTCGTGTTTATGAGTAGCATATCAGCTGCATGAAAGATTCGTTTAATTGCTGTCTCCAGACGACGTTTCACTAGTTGGGTGGCGTCTTCACCCTTGAATGGTAACTTTACGTCTATCTTCGTATTAGAATTAGTCTCTGATATTACTTCATCTTTTGCATACTTATGTATTTCCGAATAACCATTTGCCACTAGTGTCTCGCACAAAACTTTTTCCGTGTCCTAGTGTGCTACTTGAATACATTCTCCTTGTTCTGTACAATCATGTGCTAACCAGACTCCTTTTGTCCTGGACTAAGACGAAGCTATTGCAAATGTACGAATTTTCCCGTCGATATTGCTTTCAGACCTATAGATCTCTCTATATTTCTATCAATTCGTTTAAGCAGATTCTTATCCAAGAAGTGTATGGTGTCATTATCTTCATTTGAATTCTATACTAGCACCACGTGAATTAAACTTTTTTAACATTATCTTGGCTTCAGTCTTATATTTGCTTATTGGGAATATGTTATACATAAGCCATAGGTATATTCCAGCTTCATCTTTATAATCCTTTAAGACAGTATATTCTAGAATTACCAAAAGTATATCTGCAAATAGGGACCCCAGTAGGCTTCCCGTCTCTTCACCATCTATTTGAAAATGTCCGTTATTCATCAAATGTACCTCTTTAGTACACATATTCAGTAACTTCCTTAGATAGTGCCCATGTATATGACAATCATTCGCTACATCACAAATAAAGTCGATCGTTTCCTTGAAGGGGACATTCGTGTAAAGTGAAGCAGCAGAAAACGATACAAAGTGCTTACCACTAGCTTTTGAACTGCTGCACATCGGCACAAAGTTCTATTTCGAAAACAGACAGACAGATAGACAGACCACTAGCATCCAAGTCAGCAATTTTTCGGGAGAATTGAAAGGATGTATCTTGAAAACTGTTTTCTTAGAGTACTCAACATTCTGTGTAGCTACTGTGCCAACTTATGATATGGAGAATTCACTATGGACAACGCTGGTCTAAGCGACTTTTCCTATTTATGTGCCTTCATGAGACCATACAGCTTCCATATGTGACACCCAATTGACCGAAGCAGGTAGTTGTCTGTCTGTCTGTTTGGATTCAACATAGAACTTGGCACCGAAGTGCACCAGTTCGAGTTGCCACGTTTCAAATAGCACACAGAGGTAGACAAGAAGATGAGTGAAGAGAATCAATAGAGTTTGACAAGTATAAGAGTGAAACAGAATCGATAATTGTAGAAAGGAATATGAAAGGTAGTTGTCTGCAGTTGGTAACTGAATGAGGCGAAATTTTGTAGGAAACAATCTGTATATCTTGCTATATTTGGCGTTGTACTGAAAAGTGGTATCATGAATTCAAATAATAACGCAGTCTTTTTTATGTTGTGATATGGCTAACGGGGAAGGTTTCAATTTCTTCCATGCCTCCTGCAGCCAATTTATTTTTGCATTTTCTTCTAATACATTTGAAGTAATAGCACTGTGGAAGTCTGACCTACCATTAAAGATATGAATTTCAAGAGATAGGTTTGTAACCTCACGTCAACTGTAGTTTGAGCTTATCATATCCTTCACCTCAACTAAATAAGATTAAATATCTGTGTGGAATAAGCGGTTCCCGCATTTTAATAGTTGAATTTATAACCCTTCAGAATCCACTGAACATGAGATATTTCTCCTTTAGCTTCTAGTCTAGCGTTTCAGTTCTGGCCATGTATCATTTGGGTTAAATTTTTAATGAGACGATACCAAAGCGTTACTGTCCCTAATGTAGTAATGACTGCAGTTACTTGCCATTAGCCTTATTCTTTTTATCCCACTAACTGTACAATAGCTGCGTAAGTGGCGAGAGCACTTGTTTTCTCTTTATGTCAACTGTTCTGACTAGTTATTAATTTATACATTTTTCCAAACTGTGTTTGCAATAGTTATCCATTATCTGGTGTGATTTCACGTAGTTCTGAGGTATGGTTCACGTCTTAGGCAAAGCATTTGATAAAGAAATTCAATGAACTAATATGCATATATGAAGTGAAGAATATAAATGTGCTATAACAACAAAAAGTGGCACATATAGCTAATAAGCCACATTCTTCAGATTTTTTAAACATCTTTTTTAACTAACATTTTTGTATTTCTTAAAACGTACTTGTTTTAGGTTCACCTAACCGAATCTCTGTCTAATGGAAACTGTCCTTTCGGCGGTAGTTTGAATATAAAGTATCAGTCGAACTCTCCGGTTTTTGATCTAAATAACAATATGCATTGTACTAGTGCAGTCACTAGTTCGTCTGTTCCTCATCCGACCCCGAATAATTGTGCTGCTTTCTTCTTCAACGGAAAGCCACGTTACATAGCCACGCAAGGAGCGGTTGCTAATTCACAGGATGCGTTTTGGCGTATGATATGGCAAGAAAAAAGCTCTGTCATAGTTATGATTACGAAGATAATGGAGCGTGGCAGAGTAAGTCATCACCATATTTCAACTGCTAGACGATTTAAAATCTTAAAGTATAATTTACCTTTCTCCAACTTTATATATATCTCGTAAATCTGATGTATTCATATCTGATTTTCGTCTAACTGATAGAGCTAAAATATACTAAAAATGCAAATTTCTGTACGTTGTTAGATAACATTTGATGTATCCTTGGTTGATCCGTTTCTCTGTCCAGCTCGCCACGTTATTGAGTTGATGTTTACACATTGGCTCTAATAAGCGACAGTTGTTTTCACTTCAATGCACTTTAAACAAATCTAGTCAACGAAAGATTCAATAGGTCTAATAGCAATTCATTAATTTTTCCAAAAATTTCCTATGATTCAGCAAATGGACAAATTTTTGTATTACTTAACATCCCGGATAGAACACAGGGTTTCAGACTAGATCTTCGGAGTTTCACTAGCAGTGATTTTTACTTTTACGGGGTGAGGTCACTAGCTTCACACCCAACCTTCCCTCTCTCCCCGTCTAACTATCGGTTTAGCGAGGTTTAGGAGTGCGTTGGCCGAGGATCGGACCCCGGACCACGTGGGCGGGCGTTTTACCGCTGAAACATCACCGGAAATGTATAAATAAAAACATAAAACTTGGTGCTTTTATAAATCACTTCAGGTGGTCACAATGAAAAGAAGTAATAAAAGTCTTAAGGTAGAATAAATATAGGACACGTAAAATAGTAAGATCGGTATTTCACTTATGATGAATCTTGGGTTGTTTTTTGTTATTATGATGACTCTAGAAGTATTCTATCCTTACTGTTGGTTTTTGCCGTTTCTTATGTTTGGAAATTAGTTAAAGAATTCCGTTAGTTTCCCTCGGGAACTCTTGTATGACGTCCATGTTACTGTCATTTAAGATTCTCTTATTTTGTACCTTTAGTAATGACTTACTGTGGAATCCGAGAGGGGGAGGTGGGGTGGACGTATCTTTAGTCCCATTTAGGAGTCGTCTACTCCATTCGTCTGTGATTTTTTATGAGTCATTTAGTGGACAACGCTGTGGCTTTTTGGAGATAGGCATTAGATTCTAGTCTGATGGGGCACATGACGTAACGGAACAACAGTACATTTTAATAAGGAGGGAACGTGGGTCTCAAATGTTTTGGCTAGTCGCCACTAATAAAATGGCTTGTTTTCACTGTTTTTCGACTTTGATGTTTTCCTAGACACCATAAATATCTGGACATAGCAACATTCCTGACGTATCGCTTTCGCTTTTGTTCTGTGTTGAAACTGACATCGAATTGGGAGTGTGGAGGTCTGTATCATTTGGTGGTAACAAATGAACTGAAATGGTCTAGAGAGAAGTAACTGCAGCAGTATCCTAACTCCAGCTAAAAATCAATTACCCTAGCCAATGATACAGACCTCCACACTCCCAATTCGATATCAGTTTCAACATTGAACGAAAGCGAAAGCGAGATCATTAGGATTCGTGTCTATAATGTGGCTCACAATCTTATTTCATTAAAAATTGTACTGCATAACTGAGCCAAGAGATTCACGACCAGCAGACGAGTTTAATACATATGCTTCACTGGCCCCAAACTTGGAAGTAAATACTGTTTAAAGGTATTTCGTGTCGTTCACTTAGCCTTAAAAATGACGTAGATTTTTCGATCAATTTCTGATGTACTTTTCGTGTCCAGTTAATTTATCTGATGTAGCATTTGCATTGTGTTTACTGAAACAGTAAACATTCTTTTTTTCAAATATTTAGTAACTTCGTAGATTATAATTAATAATTGTGGCATTTTATTTTTTCTAAAACATTATTTTTCTATAAATTAAATTCACATTTTGCAAATAAATTTTCAGTTTGCGTACTTTGAGGTGGTGAAATGTCACCACAGTTTCTTTTGGAATCCGAAATTATTCATATCACAACATCACAGTATAGGATCTGTTTGATACTATAAATAGTAATTAAGAAAGCAAGCGTATTTTCATTTAAAAAAAAACTAGGTACTGCTAATTGATTGAGATGAGAAGTTGTATATCAGTCATATCAACTAATAATGCGTGCTAAGTGAGATCAAAGAGGTCTAAACGTATATTGTGATTTAAATAATTTTGGTTTTCAAAAGGGAACCGTGGTGAAATTTCACCAACTCGAATTATGCAAATTGCAAGTTATTAATCAATCTGAAAATTGCGAATTTGGTTTAAGGTATTACTAGTTCACCCTAAGCAGCTAGCTGTGGAAATCAAGTGGCTCTTTGAGCTAAATCAAACCTAGCACACCGCTGACGAGCTCGGCCGTAAATGGACGAAACGGCCGTCCGGTGTTTTAGACCATCTCTATCTGGTTGAAATGATTGGTGTGCGGCCACTCATATCAATAAATCACTAGTACATAGTTGTATTTTATCTTTGGGAATACGTTTTCAGTGCGTCGGTGGCACAGCGGTTAGGACACTCGCCGACCATGCACATGATCCGGAGTTCGACCCCTGACCGACCCACTCCTTTACCTCGCTAAGCCAGTAATAAAATGATGGCATAGTGAGGAGGTTGGGCATGAGACTAGCAACCCCATCCCGTAAAAGTAAAAGTACAGAAACTTCAAGCCTCTAGCTTGAGGCCTTATGTTCCACTGGGAACGTGAAGGAATAAAAAAAAACATAGTTGTATTAGTGTTTTGTATTTTATCTATGGGAATACGTTCTTAAGACTTTTAAGATAGCCTTATGTTTGTTTAATATTGTTTTTCAAAATACAGAATAAATGCATCCGTTATTGGCCAACTGCAGAGGAAGGTACACGTGAATTTCCAAGTTACGGAGGTACAATTCGTGTTCGACATCTATCTGAAAGAAATTCCGTTAATTACACACTACGAGAACTTTATCTAACCAGAGAGTCTACTACAACGAATAAAAAATCAGAGAACACTGTTAATCAGACTTATGCTTCTGCTGCTGGTAAACCTACTGGTCCTAGTACTATATGTGACACTTTATGTGACCAGAATGGTTGTGAATCGGACAGTACAAAAATGCATCATTTGGACAGCACAACAGCAACGAATGTAAATTCTGATTTTGGTTCTAATCAAGCAAATACAGAAGATGGATTCACAGTTTATCATTATCATTTCACTGTATGGCCTGATCATGGGACTCCAAGTGATCCTTCTTGTGTGTTAGATTTTATGCACGATATATCTGCTCGACAGGTAATTACGTTTATTTATTACAGTTGTCTTGAATGACGTGTTAGTGAATTTATAATCAATAAAAAGGAAAATCTCAAGAAGTGAGTAATAATCAGTGAAATAAGACATAATGTGAATACGCTAAAGGGATGACAAATAGAAATAATAATAATATCAATAACGATATCATGAAAGGAAGTAAACAAGACAGGAAAGGCAATTCGCAGAGAGACATAACTATGCTTGAATGTGTGACTTTTTAGATGACCAAGGAAACTAACCCATACTCTTCATTCCTGTAGCTTCAGCTGTGGATAGTTGATTTAATTTTGTGCTTTTAGGCAAATCACACCGTATATTACTATTAATGATTTAGTGTTCACTGTCCATCAAAATGAAACACGATGATTCTATTAATTGATCCATTTCTCCATCGAACTACCGCCTATTTCGAATTGTGTGAGAATGAAGCTGTCTGAGTGCGATCTATGTAGCCCAGTTAAACGTGCTTGCGCACTTTGTTTGTGCGTCGGTGGCACAGTGGTTAGGACTCTCGCCAACCATGCACATGGTCCGGGGTTCGATCCCACGCCGACGCACACTTGATATCTATGGTCGGCCTGCGAATTTTAGGCTACCGATATCCACACTGAAAATTCCATACTTGTACCAAAAATACGGTGTGGAATCAAGCTGTAATCAAAAATAAAATAAATAAAAGTTATAGTTATCTTTATCATGTCATCTTTAATGCACTATTAGCATAGATCTGTCTGAGTAACTGATAAGTAATTTCGCGGCCTTAAGTATTTTTTAAAATAGATGTACTTATCCTTTAACTGAATATGCTATTGAATATATATTGCCTTTGAACTATATCTTTAGGTAAAGCTTCTTACTCTTCACATCTTGCTTTATTTTATCAGTCACTGCTTAAGAAAGTTGCTGGAATATCTATTTTGTAGCTTGTAGTGCTTGTCACTTCTATTTCTTCTTCACTCCAGTCATCAGAACATAGGAGCTTTTGTTTCTCTGACGGAGATTGTGAATCCGATTTTGTTTGTACTATATCTCTATGAAGCCGTAGAACTGAACGTATCAAACATTCCCGGAAAAATTCCTTTCTATAGAGATACGTCAGTCCTTTGAGTAAGAAGACCATCGAAGAAGTTCTATCATGATATTCTTCTTCTCGAGTAAATTTAACAAACGGAAAGGAAGGAAGAACATCGTAGAGAAATTGGATCTTTCTTCATAGGGAACAAGACTGAGTCACATGATATGGTGCTGCTGATTACTATTTTTAATTGTAGATTCTACATGAAGAGGAAATATTTTACAACTAAGCACACTGAGAATTTCTGTACTATGTGTTAACATATTTATTGTCTTAAATAAAGCTTTTTTAATATTTGTAAGAAAAACTGCGTCTTTTGAAGCCATGATTTATCCAGTTGTATTCACTGAATATGCTAAATCCATGAATTTAAACGAATTTTCCAAGGGATACATCACCACTAGCCTTCTCACAGGTTGTTAAGTTTCAGTGGATGTAGTTTTTCTTACAAATATTAAAAAAGCTTTATTTAAGACAATAAATATGTTAACACATAGTACAGAAATTCTCAGTGTGCTTAGTTGTAAAATATTTCCTCTTCATGTAGAATCTACAATTAAAAATAGTAATCAGCAGCACCATATCATGTGACTCAGTCTTGTTCCCTATGAAGAAAGATCCAATTTCTCTACGATGTTCTTCCTTCCTTTCCGTTTGTTAAATTTACTCGAGAAGAAGAATATCATGATAGAACTTCTTCGATGGTCTTCTTACTCAAAGGACTGACGTATCTCTATAGAAAGGAATTTTTCCGGGAATGTTTGATACGTTCAGTTCTACGGCTTCATAGAGATATAGTACAAACAAAAGCTCGTATTTTCTGATGGCTGGAGTGAAGAAGAAATAGAAGTGACAAGCACTTAGCTACAAAATAGATATCCTTTCATCCTCTTAAAAGTTTAACAAAACTCTGAGGCATGTGACAAAATTCTCATTTTATATCTAAAAGAACACTACGAAGTTGAAAACATTGCCGGTCAGAGTTGTTGGAAAAGTCATGTCAGGACCATCGTGTCCTTTTATCATAAAGGTTCCCCCCTTTATTTCTCTAGTTTTTTGAATTTTGATGGACGTGACCCATGATTCATGACCTTCAGCTTTGAGTTAAGTCCATTAGCAAGATACTTTCTTTCTTTCTAACCCAGTAATGTTCATTTAAATACATCCAGTCTTACTTAGAACAATTCGCTTAAGAAGGCTTGCATTATAATTTAACTTACAACAATTAAGCGATTTCGAATAAAGTTTCAGTAACTGATTTTGAGTTGTTGATGAAGCCCACACACTGATGTTTGATCCAGTGAGTCGTGCATTATTCTTCAACCGCTTAATTTTTCATTTACTGGTTTTTAGTGAGTATTGGTAGTTAGAAATTAAGTAGTCCGTTGTTTTCAGTAATAGGTGGTGTGTTTATTATCAAGGACTATATAAGATTCAAATAAGACAAATTGTTAGATAATTTTAGTAACATTCTGATACAGCACAAGTATGTTTTTCCCATGCCACTCAAATCTCAAGAATATAAACACTAAGAAGAGATGTTTATTCTAATTTCATTATTCATCTGCACATTATAAAACTTTATTTATTTCATCTTAATGTCTACTCTGTCATAATACCACATGATTGAAATTAGTTACTGACACGGTACATGGATTAGAATAATATTTCTTTCGAAGTCTCGTGATACGGTGAATCACAATATTATTTTTATGGGTACCATAAATATTATTCATATAGTCACCCTGTATTATGCTTATAATTTCCACAATTACACACATTACTTATATTAGCCACGAGTGTAACGGTAGAAGACAAGAGACTCTGTAAGGGAATGTTTATTTGGAATTCAGTATCTCCATATAGTCAAAATCGTCATTTGCACAGCTCTTCCGTGTTGTACTCCTGTAACAACAGAAGACAAGGTTCAGGCAACAGATCGTCTATTAAGGAAGTCAACACATATTTATAGATTTTCATGTACATTATTATAGATTATTGTTAGCAGAAAAACACAGTCCTCTGATTGGTTGTTTCTCACTGCAAGTTAACCTTGCATCTCTTTGTGGCTGTCTCTTGAATATCAGATCATCTATATGTTAATTGCATCCGCCTATGTAAAGCCTTTGTTCTCATTTTTCTCACGACCAATATTGGGGACATAAACATTGACGTAAATTACTGTCCACCAATTTTGACTAACAGTCAGCTCTCACCACACTACTTCTGACCTTCGTATTGTGTTACTTTGTCTTCTTTTCGTGTTTTGCCACAACGCTAGTTCATTTGCTCCCTTTGACGTCAAATGCATTTCTAGTCTATTTGATATTTTTATGCTGATGAACGTCTCTTTATATACTACTGATAAATCTTATCAGTGACACACATTACACTAGTGCTAAGCAACTAGATTGCTTAGCGAGCTCATTTTGCCTCATTTCACTATGTACCAACTCGACGTAAATGGTAGCGCGCGAAGTACTACCTCAGTAACACCACCACGAATGGAGACTATCGTTTTTACGTGTCATTTATTTTTTTAATGGATGTATCTAATCCCTTAAGATGCTTTTGCCTTCTAATCTCATAGGACAGTATTCCTGGCTCTGGACCAATTGTTGTACACTGTAGCGCTGGTATTGGACGCACTGGAGCATTCATTGTAATTGACATGCTTATCAATTACATCAAAACGATGGGGCTTAATTGTGATATAGATATATCTCGTACAATACAAGCTGTTCGGGAACAACGTTCTGGAATGGTTCAAACCGAAACACAATACAGGTTTATCTACAAAGCTGTTCAACAGTATGTGAACACTATGTCCAAACGTATACAAATGGATAATGTGAGTTGTTTAGCTAATCATTTTGCTCTAAATTAAAAAAATGTTTATCGTCGACCATGCCCATTTCTGAAAACCTGTTTGAAATTGTTCCAACTCTGTAGGCATTAGATGAAGTTGCGATAGTTTTCACAGGCGTTGGATAGTTATTTCACAGTTCATAGCTTTACAATGAATTAATGAATGATTAAAGACGCATTTTCTGTCAAGTCAAAATCAAGTGTTATTTTTGAATAGCATGAGTAAGGAATCTAAGGCTGGTGATTTCTCTTCCTCACTTATCTAGTGTATTTGGGACTTATATGGACAAATTTTCAGCCTGATGTTCAGAAGTTAGTAACTGCCTATCTATATATGTATAGAGATGCAAAGATGGACTGGAAATTTTTTGTTATTCCAGTCATTTACACAATTTCTTGAGGCCGATTTTCCCCAGTAATTTCATTATGTGTAGTAAGAGGAGAGAGCACACTAACTATATTTTTTGGTGTGGTATTAGTGTCACGCACATTCTCACTTTGGAGAGGCCAGGTTTCACAGGCATAGAACAAGACAGCCCGCATCGAAGCATTGTATACCCGACCTTAGACAGCCGGGCTAACGTCGCGACGGCGCCATAGTTAGCTCAAGTTGGTGTATGCCACCCTAGCCTTCATTATACGGTTGGAAATCTCATCCGTCACCCCTCCACCAGCACTCACACAACTACCCAGATACACAAACTTATCAACAACTTCAAGCAGTTCACCCGCTAGAGTGAGTGCAGGTACAGGCTCCTGCCAATCTTGTAACAGTACTTTGCGCTTTCTAAGCGCAAAGTACACATATCATACTTACAGACACTGATTGCCAACTGATAAAGTGCGATTTGGGCAGCCTGCATGCTATCGCACAGTAAGACTATATCGTCTGCATACTCGAGATCGAAAAGTCTATCTCCAGGTAGCAGATCTACACCACCTTCACGCACATCCTTCAGAGCTGGCTCCAAAATGACATCGATGGCAAAGTTAAAGAGAAATGGAGAGATTTGGCAACCCTGTCTAATCCCACTGTTGGTTGGGAACAGTGATGAGAATTGGTTGTATGCCCTCACTCTGCCTGAGGTGTTTCTGTATAGTGCTTTCAAGATGTTAACAAATTTCTCAGGTACACCTATCTCTAGCAGATAGTTCCAGAGCACAGTTCTGTCCAACGAATCGAAGACAGCCCTAATATCAAGAAACACAACGATCGTTGGTCTGCAATACACGTATCCATGTCAATACATGTTTTTGTAATAATAACGTCGTCAGTGGTTTCGATGATGATCTAACCAGATATTTAAGCATTAGCGTGTCATCAGTGGCAGCACCTCAGCCTTCGTACAATCTGACATTTTGTGTTTCGCATCTGCTGACGCTCATAATGTATCGAGTTTGTGTCTTAATAATAACCATAGTCTTACTAATAAATTCAAGGAGTACTATAAACTTTAAGGCTTCATTTTATGTTCGCAATAGTGTTTAATTTCACCGACATTAAACTATACCAACATTTGGTAGATTCGACTTTGAGTTTATGTACATACCAGTTTTTGAGAATTATCGAAGGATAACGGACCTAACACGGAAGATTCAAACATTTAATGGTGATTTTTTAAATTTTCTTAAAAGTATAAATACATTTGTAGTATTCTTTTAAGATTATGATTCAATATTTTTCAAAATAGTCTAACCGTCAGACTAAAGGATTAATTGGTCAGTAGAAGAAAGTGAATTTTTTAGTGTAAAAAGAAAGATTCAAAATTGTACAAAATACATTACAAAAATATGTCACAAATATCTCTTTTACATTAAAAATGCTTTATACCGCGTACATAGGTAAACCTCTCGATACTCTAATTTTATCTAAATGTCGTTAATTAGGTTTTTCGATAACTATTTGAGTGTATTCTTTCTTCTTCCGTCATTTTAAGTCATTTCACGTATAACTTATGAATATGTGTGCAACTGGAACTTTCTCCTTTGATTATGAATCCGGTGGTTGTCAACAAAGCGTGTCTGTAGCCTCGAAGGAACTAGTGTACCCTTGGAGGTTGATTTCCAGCCGCCCCACCCAGTGCTAAAGTTTCAGATGTTATCACCAATTCATTGTTTAAGGTACACAACAACCTGCTATCGCTGGGATCCTCCATATGAAGAAAAATTGTCATACATCGTATGGGTATATCAGACTAAACAAACATAAATTATGACGAAGATAAGGAAAATCCTGCATACAAATTTTGTAACTGAAACCAATAAAAAGTGTTTGGGTCTATCCAAGATATGTAACATCAGAAGACAAGGGCCAGGCAACAGATCGTTTATTAAGGAAATCAACACGTATTTATATATTTTAATGCACATTATTATAGGTTATTCAAGCAAACAAACACAGTCTTCTGATTGGTTGTTTCTCCCCGAAAGTTGACCTTGCATCTCTTTGTGACTGTTTCTTGAATGTCAGTTCATCTATATGTTAACTGTATCTGCCTATACCAAGCCTGCTGTGATTAGTTGTTGAATCAGTCTTGTTCATATTTTCTCATGACCAATATTTGAGACACAAACATTGACGTAAATAATTGTCTACCAATTTGGCTAGCAGCCCGCTCTCACCACAGGTGTTATTCATAGCCACTTCTTGGACCATATGTTCCGGTGGTCAACAAAACCGTAACCTACTTCTGGCAGATTAATTTTTCGAACATTTTTCAACCTGTGAATTATGTGATAGCTGACAATGTTTTTTTCGCAAATAGTAACAGACCATTTATCAAGATATACATTACTTTAACTGTTTTAGGTGGTTACAGTCATCGTCTTTTGAAGTGAGGGAAAAGTGTGTCCATCTGACCTGTATTATCAAAATAAATATAGATATGGTTGTTTGGGGATAAGTTTCTATGGGCATTTTTAAGTAATACAGAGTTAACAAGAAAACAGTGTTTGCTAATAAGCCCTTTCTGGTGTATGTTCAGTTTTAATTACCACACACATTATTATTATTCACTTGGAATCTGAGTAGAATATAGAGTTTCAACAGTAGTACATCTCCACTTTGTCCTATTCTATGCAATCCTCTACAGCTGGCCTAACAGTTGCGCATATTCTCCCATCTCCTCGTCTAACTCGTCGCTTTCCGTTCGGGCTCTACTCGGGCGGTGGTCCGGCACGCGATGTCATTCGACGGTCTCCTCAGCATGTGATCGACCCATCTCCATTTTCTCCGGCACATTTGTTGAACAATAGGTCCTTGTTTGGTTCGTCCCCATAGTTTCTTGTTGCCAATTCTTTCTGGTCATTTGATATCCAATGTGGAGAGAAGTCAGCTGTTGATAAAAGCTTGCAGTAGCCTGTTTGAAATAGTTCTCGTGACACTGCTTCTAACACATATAGAAAAATTGACGTAACATTAACATTGAAGATGCGGATTTCATTGTTTATGCTGGCTGAGTGAAGAAGATTTCCAAACTGATTTCAGGGTATTGAAGGTTTATCTTGCTTTTCCGGTCCTAGTTTTAACATCTCTAACCATTCTCTCTATAGTTGAAACGGTACTGCGTATTTAAATGAAGGAAGTGACCTCTTTTAGATTTATTTCGTTGGTAGTGAATGGTACTTGTGCTCGGTTGGTTGGTTATCTTCATCACCTCCGTGTACTCCATGTCCACCTGTCCTTACTTCTTCTGCAAACTTGTTGGATTTCTTCTATAAGTTTTGGAATTTATTTGACGCTAGACATAAATCGTTTGTGAAATCCACACCTTCTGAAGTCTTGTTGATCTTTGAAGTTTTTGTATCTATTAGACTGATTTTCCGGGCAGGGTGGCTAGAATATCATTTAGATCAATGTAAAACAGAAGTTGTATTCAGTGCATTATAACTGCCCACATTGACTTTGTTTTTCATGTAATGCTGGTTCATCAGTCGTACGTCGATGTTAGACATGTTAACTTCTATTAATCAAACTTAAGCCAATAAACTTTGAGTCCCTGTTTATAACACATCCTGGAAACTTTAAACCTTTTTCCCATGAATAATTCCGTTTATCTTATCACATTTTGAAACATTTACAAATAATAAAATGCGATTTTTAGATTTCAGGTTGTTTTGGGGACCCTTTTTCAACGAACTGTTGTGTTATATATATATATATATATATATATATATATATATATATATATATATATATATATAATTTCTTATTCTCTTTTATCTAAATATACCTACAGGATCTTCGTCGTACTGGAAGGGATTACACAAATATTAATCGTGCTGCAGATGATATTGGTGTTATTGGAACAGCAGCTGTTTCTCTTTTTCCATCAATTTGCTCATCATCTGGAAGCAGTTCTGAACAGCAATCCACAGCACCGAATCTGAATTCTTCCACAAATGCTAACGCATCGTCAGTTCCCACTTCCAATAGACCATGTAGTTGCCCTATTCATTCATGTTCTCAGCGAAGACAAATATCAAATCAAAATATACCTCAGAGTTCTAATCATCCTTCAAACTGTTCTCAGACTGTTACTTCATCTGCCACATTGCCGTGTACACCTCCAGCTGTATCTGTTTCCTCCCGTACCTCAGAATCTATAACAAGTGGCTTTTTCCATCGCTTAGCTGGACCTAGTCGTTCCCGCACAAAGTTTTAATACTTTAAAATATGATCATCCATAAGTGATTTGTGTAAGTGTATTCGATAATTACTTTGTTGACTAATCTACATTATTCATATTATGTCAGAAAAAAGCAACTGTTCTAGTTGTTTTCAAAGGAATTCGTTTTATAAATTACCAATGTAAGAAATTACTTCATTTTGCTTAGATAGTAAGATTTTATTTGTTTCCTGCAGCAAGCTTTTAGCTGAAATACCTGCACAATCAGTCGTTTACTTCTTTGTAAATTCGTACGATTTCGACTCAAGATTTTATCCTCATTGTATCTGTAAAACCAAATTAGAATAATTTTTGCTTGAGAATGAACATTACCTTTCGAGGCCTTACATCCATCATCTGGTATTTTACCCTAAGGTGATCATTCTGTTTATGAATTCGCCAGATATAAGCAATGCTTCACTGGTAACCGTGATCCAGTGTATGCATCTTTTACATTCACCTTATTAGATGGTTGGAGGCAATCGGCAGGAAGCCTTGGACCTAGGTTTCGTGCTAGTTGCCACTCATCAGCAAGGTGTATCTGCAACGTCGAAGGAACTCATGTCCCTCCTGAGATCCGAGTACTGCAGCAGTCAGAGACGTTACCACTGAGCTATTCAGGCTCGCGATTGACCTCCTGTAGGACTGTATTCGATATTTTTGATTGCACACTAGTCAGTAACCAGTGTAATGTGTCTAGTCCTATCTTCACTGCAGACTGATTTCTATCATTCAAGCTTGCAATGTGGCCACCATGCCACTAGGTGGCTCGCCATTACGGTGCACTGTGAATTGCTGGTATTAGCGAGCCTGAATAGCTCAGTGGTAACGTCTCTGACTGCAGCACTGGGTAACGCGGGTTCGAATCTCAGAAGGGGATATGAGTTCCTTCAAGGCTGCAGATACGCTTTGCTGATGAGTGGCAACTAGCACGAAACCTAGGTCCAAGGCTTCCTGCCGATTGCCTCCAATCATCTAATACCGACTGACTAGTGTGCAATCAAAAATACATTCATCCTACTTTCAGCACCCATTCTATACGGACACAATAGAGTGAAGTTGAACCTTCAACAGTAGATTAGTTCCAAGATGGGTATTCAAGTAGATATAATACACTGCACTGCACATCGTGAAATGCGAAGAAGAGTTTTGTGATAGCAATAATACACTGGAGACTTTAATGCAAGTTAAGTGAACGATACAGTTCAATACTCCTCTGTTCATTTTGAAAGTGTGGCATAAAAATGTAGACGTATGTAAACTTTAATAAACAAGTATTGTATTGTTATGTGTTGCATTTCTGAGGAATACACAATAAAACGAAAAAATGTAGGTTAACAGTACCATTATAAACAACATGAACAGAATCGAGGCCAACGCATAACATTCACTATGATTATTAAAGTATTCAAAACAAGCAATTACTTATGTTAATTTCTAATCTTTCCAAATTATACGTTGAATCAAACCAATGATAAAGCATGTTGATATTAGTCTGTCTGTCTGTTATCGACATAGAACTTTGCACAGATGTGCGGCAGTTCAAGTCGCCACACTCTATTTAGTACACAAAGCAAGAGAAGAAAGTACAAGAAATGCATAATAGAGACAGTAAGTTGAGGTGTGAGACAAAGGAGTAGTAATAACGAAGAACAATATAGTTTCATTGGAAATCATAAGTCACTGGGAGTGGATGCATCTGCGCCATTCAGAACGATTTTGAGCCACATCACCAATTGTTTCCAGCCTTCATTAGTTTTTACCGTCGCGTGGACCCCAACCAGGAAGTCTACATCTTCCTACGTGGCTTAAACTAACTGTTGTAGATTTCATTGACTAGTGCCATGTTTTGGTTTGACCACTGCTAGCTCTTTTCCAGCCTGACCCTATGTCATCTAACATTCCCTGTCGGTCGAGGAAGGCGATGACTAGGCATACGTAACACATGTCCTAACCATCTCAGTCTTTGTAACTTCACGACTTCGTCGATTGATTTCCCCTGTTTACCTAGAACTCGAGGCCTAACTTCAATATTGCTCACCTTATTATACCACTTCACACGGGAGATAGAGCGTAGACACCTATGATCAAAGACAGATGGTCTTTTAATGTCTTCCACTCTCAGTGGCCAGGTCTCACAACCATAAAGGAGGACGGAGCGGACTGATGAGCAGTACACACGCCATTTGGTCGATAGCTGGATATCACGTCTACTAAGCCAGAGACGGCGTAAATTGGCATATGCGAAACGAGCCCCTTGTATCCGTGCTGAGATTTCGTCAGTGATCAACCCGTTGGCGTTGGGTGATGGTACTTCCCAAATAAGTGAAGCGGTCAACGATGTGCTCTACCACTTCACTCCCTATTACTAAACTAGGCGTCGATGTAGTCCAGTCCTGTAACATCATCTTGCATTTGACGTGAGCGAATCGCATGTTAATATTAGAGTGGGCATTGTATTCCTTACTTCATCTGTTTTCATTATATATACGCATTATATGAACATTCCCTTTTAAAGTAAATATGATTTCTGAACTGTCTAGGTTTATCGGAGGGCAGCAGACCAAAGCGTTTCTGGAGAAAATAAAAATAACTGCGCGTAGAAGTTAACTTACTACATTGTTGTATAAAAAAATAAGGAAATAATAGCATTGTACAGGTATTGCTAACCCTCTTAAAATATGTTACACTTGATGTTTACTGTTTACCTCGGCTATCTCCTACGGGAGGTTGAGCCGGCTTCATGAACAGAGTTCATGAAGTTTCATGGGAATTAGGTACGAGTGATGTCCCCAGAATCGCTCGGCCTTTTGTTTGAGAGTGCAGCTCTAGCCTTTACACAACCAAGTGTGACCTACAAGGCAGTAGGAGTGGAGTAGGGAGTCCACTATCCATTGGCAGCCGGTGACCGGAGTCCGGTTCATACGCCTTTTTGAATGGGGCCAGACATCCAGGACATCCAATAAGCCCTTTGTCCATACGTCTGCCGGTGAGCTTCATACGCCAGTCGTTGGAGGTTTGGAATCAGGGTTTAGCCATCTCCCTAGACTGTCATCCAATGAACAGTCAACCCGGTGAAGAGCGCCGGGCATCCGTTTTTGCCCTCTCACTTTGGTGAAAAACACCTCCGCCACGTGAAGGCAGTGAGTAGGACTTCCTCAGGAGAGGCTATGTAAGACGTTCGGTCACATAGGAGCATTTCAAGAGGTGTACGGAGGGGTGGCCAACCCGCAGCGCAAGGCACCCACCCGCGATCATTCTGAGGCTTTGGAGGCCTTGATGTCTATACCTGATTTCATAAGTTTATTCATTTAAGCTTTTACTCTGATTAATGATTTTAAGAGTACAACTAGTTATTAATTGAATATCATTCAAGTCATCTGAACTATTCTTCACAAAAGACCAAACTATTTTTATTAGTCAGTACAATAGAGGGCCGGTACGTGTGCTTAGTTTTATATCTAGTAAATGATATAAACATTCAATAATGGTGGTAAGAAAGTTCACTCATATTTTGACATTTTATTGAACTTTAACGACAGATTTGTTTACATATTTAGCATGATTGTTCATTTTGTTTTTTTTTGTTTACTTCATTCCGGTAACTGTTTCATTCTTTTTTCTAATTTTTCTATTTTATAGATAAAGAAATACCGATAGTTTCTAAGGTGATTTTTTTTACTTTTACCTGTTCAATGCACAATAATCTTGAAACTCTTTTCATTTCTGCTTTATGTACAAAATATTATGGAAATATGATAAGTTTGAATTTAGCTTACAGTTAATTAGTAGTTTGTTGTATTTAACTAATTGTGTATATTACTTAATATCATCGTTTGTTTTTCTATCTTTGTGTTGTTGTTGTTGTTGTCTGCCTCGTCCTCTTCTCCTCTCAGAATTCATGCAGTCTTGTCTTCTTCACTGTATTGTTGTGTTAGCTAGTGTTACTTCTTTGTGATTCAAGGATTCAGGATATAAAAAAAAAGAATAACCTCTATTGTAAATGATTTTGTTTTTTTGATTGTTTTGTATATCGAAGACTTGTGTCAATTGCCATTTCTTACCTTTTTCCATCGAGAGATTTGTTGTATTATGTGATTATGCAGAGATTGTCTGAATTTCTACTTGTGAATGAATGAATGAATTAGCTATTGAAATTAGTGTACAGTTATGTTTTGTTTTGTTATTATATAGAATATAGGAAATACTTTTTCACAATTGATATATCTCTGTACAGATATATAGATATAGACATATGTATTTAAATGCTTCAAAAATGATTATACTTCATTGTATTTTATTTATTACTCTCTATCTTTTCCAGAAGTTAAATGTGATTATTGCCTTTTTATTTTATTTGGTAGTTTTTTCTTGTTGTTTTTGTTTCTTTGTTTTTGCCTCGTAAATTTTCGATATCACTTTATATTTATTTACTTATTTGCTTGACCGCCAACCAGCCAGTCAGTCTAGCTCTCTCCTATCTTTCGGTTACCAGAAATGATTTAATTTAGACAATATTGAATTAATTGTTTACTTTATCTTGCACTAACTTTAGCACACATATATATAGAGAGAAAGAGTATAAAGCAATGTGATAATTAAATTGCTTATATTTCTTTCTTTTTTTGTATGTTATGAATTATTTCCACTAATGTGATTTTATAAAACACAGGATATCTTGTGTTCTTAATGAATAATTTTATCTTTTTTTTCAATATGGAAAACTAGAGGTTGAGTAGTTTACAAGGTTTATCTGTGTAAAAGGGATGATCACTGAATCGATTTCGGGATAGGGGGAAGTGAGATTCACGCTCAAGACTACTACGTGATCTTAAATCATATGACGTGAATTTCCTTTTTTGACACACTTTTAAGATCTAACCTTGTTGACTAACGTAAGGCTGATTCCGTCCTCTCCGATACGTTAATTATGGATAGATTCTTCACGCATAATGAACTATCTTAATGGTCTGAGAAATATATTCATGAAAAACGTAAGGTGACATCTCATACGTGCCTGCAAATCTTATGGTGATGTTGTAACGACAGAAGGCAAGAATCAGGCAACAGATCGTTTATTAAGGAAATCAACACATATTTATAGATTCTCATGTACATTATTATAGATTATTGTTAGAAGAAAAACAGTCTTCTGATTGGTTGTTTCTCACTGCAAGTTAACCTTGTATCTCTTTGTGACTGTCTCTTGAATGTCAGATCATCTATATGTTAACTGTGTCCGCCTACGCACAGTCGGCTGTTGTTGTTTGTTGAATCAGTCTTTGTTCATATTTTCTCACGACCAATATTTGGGACATAAACGTGAATTAATGTCTACCAATTTGGCTGTCAGCCTGCTCTCACCACAATGTGATAACGTTCCTGCCAAAACGTCCACCATGTCATTCATAGAAGGTAGATGTATAAAAGAAGCGTTGCACAAATCAAATTTCCACAGCGAATTTAGAAATGCGATGGCTGTCTTAGTGAACATAATATTTGGTGGGCTTATCATAAACCCCACGTATATCACTGTTGCATCAAGATTCAAATTAACCTTTCTTTGTGGGGCTTTACGACTATGTGCTGTGTCTTGGATTAAGTGGAATGGTGCTTTTGATTTCTGGTGGTGTATTACAATCACAAAGCCAAGTGTTACCGAACAACAGACACATCAAATCAAGTTTTTGCAACAGCAGCTTTATTTATATACCGACACATTTCTTTACCTCGCTAAGCCAGTAATAAGAGTGATAAAGAGGGAAGGTTGGACATGAGGCTGGTAACCTATCTCGTAAAAGTAAACACTACTACCGAAACTTCAAAGCTCTAGCTTGAAGCCCTATGTTACACTGGGAACGTTTAGGAATAATAATGAAGGAAACAAAATTCGCCTGCTACAACCATGAGAACTTCTCAGAAAAAATGTGGATATATCGGATAAGATTTAAGTGCTGATGCTTGCGCGATGCAAGAAAATGCAACGGTTAGGAAATGTCATAATCTGACCTAGTGTAGCGGCCCTTGGCTCGGCTAAGTCGAAAAAATTAGTTTCTTAGCTAGCAACTCTACTTGGTGAGCAGCTATCTCGACACTACTGCAACATCGAAGCACACAGAAACTCCGCTGAGATACAGGACACTCCTCAAATGGTGGCAAGTCAAGCCGGAGTAAATAAACCAATCAATTAACGAAACCAAAAGTAAAGCTGAAGATATGAAATAGCCAGAATATGTGAAGACGAATTTCAGAAGGCATAATCTAAAAACGCCACTAATATATTAGTACAGAAAGAACAGAAGTGGACTCTCAAAATTATAAACAACATAGCCTACTGTTGTCGACTGGACAGCAATCACCAAAATCGTCCAATGCTCTCATGTAGTGTGAACGAAGATTCACCATCATGATAAGAACAAGTTTTTTTTAAATAAAGAGAACTTTCAATGAATGCTACACGCATACAACGAGAAGAAGAACTTCCACAGAAAGCTGCAAATAATGATGGACAAGACCCCAGACGGATGGTAACATCAGAATTCCGGCGAGGGGCCGGAATGTCATCCAAACTAGAAGCGGGCTTCACAGCTTGGGAACTCGTCATGACTGAAACTGTTCTCAATGAGGTGATTTTGAATGAAGAATCCTGTGAAGATCTCCGTGCCTTTAATTATTATATGATTGGAAGCTGCATATACAAGCACAAAGATATACACAACGACGTCGGGTTCATGTGATGGTCACAGCAAAAGTCGAACAGCGTCATCGCGACCTGAAGTAAGTGGAGGTTCACTCTGCTGGATATAAGGTGTTGAACAGGCGTAAAAATAGGAACAGACCACTACCTGGTATAAATGTGGTGAGAGCAGGCTGCTAGCCGACTGCTAGACATTAATTTACGTCAATGTCTAGGTCATTATTATTGGCCGTGAGAAAATATGAACGAGGCTGATTCAACAACCAGTCACAGCAGAATTAACGTGGGCGAATAAGATTCGCAGATATGTGGCTTAACTTTCCGAGAAATGAGAAACAACCAATCAGAAGACTGTGTTTTTCTGCTTGAATAAGCTATAATAATGTACATGAAATATATATAAATACGTTCTGATTTCCGTAATAAAATGATCTGTTGCCGGCCCTTGTCTTCCGTTGTTACAAAAGGAACTTTCAAAATCAAGCTGAAGGCCTTCAAAGAAGCTGCAGATAGACACAATTAGAGTTCAACAGTCAATAACGTAAGCACAAATCTGTAGAGGACACACCAACTGCACGCATTAGCAAAAGGTCTGGGACACTGAGCAACATTACCGAGGAAACCTGTGTAGAAGAACATGAGACTTCTCTGAAAGCGTTGTAGAAGAAAATGTTTGTGCAAAACTCTTGCCGGAAGAAGACAAGGAATGAATTGCTGAGTATACACTGAAGATGACAGAGGGGAGGAGGGTAATGAAATAGAAGACTAACCAAGTAGGAGAAAGAGGTGGCAAATAATTCCTCAAAATTACTAGTATTCAGCCTCCATCATTCATCACCAGGTGCTGACCTTGACTGTTTACGTCGATTAGTTAGGCCGAAGGTGAGTCATCCATATATTCTTCACGATGTTATGTTACATTCAGTTGTTTTAACATAGGCCCTATCTATCTAAGCAGAGACCTCCACCCTATGTTTCTCGTATAGAAATATTTTTCACAATTGATATGAACTATAGCTTGCTTGAACAACGGGCCCTGTCTGATCAGGAACAGTGGTCCAACCTGTGAAATAAACTAGGTCTGAACATCAGTTCAGCAAAATTGTGCAGGCTGTACAGGGGTGTCCACATGCCTCAGGGTGTGCCACCCTCATTAAGGGTTACACTGGACTCTTCCCAAGAGGCCGAACGAGTACTATTAATGGCTAAGGTACTAGTCATGGACAGAAGTTTGAACATAAGGGTGAGGCAAGATAGACCATGGGCTATCAGACATATGGAGAGGGAGTCACCAGAACTGATGCCTTCTACCTCTATAGTGGTACACGTTGTTCCGAAGCTGGAAACGAGCACTGCCTGTGAAAAACACATGCATGACGTACAGCAGTGGTGATGGCTGCCATCTCAGATGCCCTTGGCGCTTCCGGAGCCATCTCCATTTTCCGACTACCTCGCCCCGCTCATCTCACATTGATTAGCCCTCCAAAGCTACTAAGTGTCACATTCAACTCCCCGGAGCAGTTGTCCATAGCACTTCAATGGTGGTATGAGACCAAGGGAAAAATAGGAGGACACATCCGATGCTGCGGAAGCAGACCCCGAACTATAAGGAGGCAGCAAACTGAGGCTTTAATCCGTTCCCAAGCTTGAGTGACACTAGAGAGATGCAGTTCTGAGAATGACAGTCTTTGTCACCCAAGTGTCCTGCCTAAATCCATGGAAAAATCTACAACGGGCCGGTTCTATCAGAATCGGCCAACTGGTTCCAACATCAAGTCCCCCACCAGCAGACAGTTTCAAGTCAACTACCCCACAACACTCTGAGGTTGTTAGACTCACTGTCAGCTGCCTATATAGCAATGTGAGGGGGCTAAGAGGAAAAGTAGGTGATCTCCGAAATCTCCTAGCACACCTACAACTGAAAATGATCATTCTCACTGAAACGTGGCTAAACCTCACTATCGCGGACAATGACATCAGTATAGGTGATATGGTTCTGGTCAGGAGATACAGCGATAATAAGGAAGGAGGGAAAGTTGCTATATACTTTGATAGGCAACTTAAATGTGTACGCGCAACGGACCCTTCACTTATTGAACTCCCAGACTCCATATGGTGTCATTTCACGGTTGGTCACACCAAGCATCTACTGGGTGGCATCTATCGATCTCCCACCTGGGAGGCAGAGCACAATCAGCTACTACTCAGCACTATCTCAGGGATACGACACCTGGGCTATGACCAAATCACCATATCTGGAGATTTCAATGCCCCATCACTGAACTTTGGCTCGGGGTATGCTAAGTGGGAAAATTTGGCCGAAATCTACTGCAAACTATTCGAAATACGGGACTGACTGAGACGGCACTAAGTGGGGACCTAGTGGAAAGTCATCAGACCTAGACTACATTCTAACTAAAGACCGACCAATCGTCGAAAAGGTCAAGATCATGACTCCTCTAGGAAGTAGTGATCATGCAGTCATAGGTTTCGATCTTGTTCTCCGTGAGCATTTGCAGTGGGACGTTACGCGCCCATGTCTGTGTTATAGCAAGGCTGACTGTGTTGAAATGCGGAGTCTCTTGTCCGACGCAGACTGGCCCTTAGCATGTTATGACCTATCTGTGGATGAACACTGCGAAGTTGGAAAAAAGATTGTTCAGACAGTAATCTCGGATGCTGTCCCTTTAGTCACAACACAGCCCAAAGAAAGTCATCATGGTTGAAGAGAGGCAGGCAAAGTATCCTGCAAGCAAAGCGGAAGGCTTGGTTTACGTGGCGCGTATCTAAGAGTCAGATCAACCATGATGCATATCCGGAACTCAGGAACTGGTATAATGCAAGAGTCAGGAGGGACAGGAAGTCATCCCGGGCTAACCTTGCTACAAAACTCCGGCAAACTCCAAAAACTTGTACCGATTCATGTCGGAGAGAAAACCAACCAATCAGTGGGCATGCGCCTTAGAAGGCCCAAATGGTCAATAACTCGCTAGTCTGGAGATGAGTGAAGCATTCAGTTTAGCCAATATCAAACAGTTAAACAGCAGTATGGGTATAACCGGTACGGACCAAAATGGCGGCACTAGTATTTCACAGGAGGAAGGCCTAGTGGCT